TGACGCATCATCTGTGGTCTATTGACCCACGTCCTGCTTATAGAGGAATCGAAGCATTACGTACATCTGAATCTGTTCCTCACATACTTGCAGTCAAAGCAGGTTATGGAATGGTCCTTACGGATGACACTACAGTTGTGACCCACTGGGCTGCCTACTTTGAATAGTTGTTTAAAGCTGATCCTCTGGCTAGGACATTGAACATCTTTGGGTACACAGTTCTTGAGGCTGATCCTCCAATCAGCTGTGAACCACCCAATCTCACAGGCGGTGAATTAACTTGGTGTAGAGAAAGCCGCAGTGATCTGTGGCATCCGGAGTGAACTTCTCCAGACTGGTGGTAAGGCTGTCCTCCTGGCATTGCAGACAATCTTTGCTTCCATTTGGAAGACTGGCAGCATTCTAACTGACTGAAAAATAGGACTTCTTGTCCTTATCTGGAAAGGGAAGGGTGATTGAGTGGATTGCAGCAACTATAGGGGCATAACACTGCTCTCAGTGCCAGGCAAGGTCCTTGCTAGGGTCATCCTTAACAGGACCCTTGGTCACTTGCTCGCCTATCAGCGACTGGAGCAGTCTGATTTTATGCCTAAGAAGTCTACCATCAACTGCATCCTGGCACTAAGGGTTCTCAATGAGTGCAAGTGTGAAGGTTATTTGCGACCTTTATTGATTTTCATAAAGTGACTCAGTTGATCAAATTGCCCTGTGGGACATCCTGATACTTTGCATACACTGGTAATGTGATTGCTGTGCGGAGTGGAGGAGAACTTCTGCATTTTTCTCAGTTGATTCTAGGGATTGTCAGGGGTGTGTTCCTGCTTCTGCTCTGTTCAATGCTTGCATGGACTGGGTGTTGGTCAAGGTCTTGGGGTCCTGTGAGGGCATCTGCTGGTGAAGGAAAATTTACTCATCTTGATTTTGCCGACGATGCTGTGATCTTTGTAGAGTCAATGAAGGCTCTGATCAGGGCTCTCGAGAAACTGAGCGAGGAGTCTGAGTGTCTGGGATTGCGAGTGTCCTCGATAAAAATCAAGATTTAGGCCTTTAATGACTGCTTAGGCATAGCCATCAATAGTGTGTCTGTCTGCAGGGAGAATGTCGACCTCATTGAGAGATTCACTTACCTCGGTAGTGACATTCATGTCTCTGGTGACTCTTCCTATGAAATCAGCAGATGCATTGGGAGAGCATGGGGGGTCATGAGGTCACTAGAAAGGGCTGTGTGGCATTCCCGATATCTTTGCAAGAGGATGAAGGTGCAAGTCTTTAGAGTCCTGGTGATCCCTGTCTTGCTCAATGGCTGTGAGACATGGACGCTATCCAGTGAGCTGAGACGAAGATTGGACTCCTTCAGTACAGTATCTCTTCAGAGAATCCTTGGGTACCACTGGTTAGATTTTGTGTCGAATGAGCGGTTGCTAGGAGAGTCCCAAATGAGGCACATTACCTGCATTGTGAGGGAGCGTCAGTTATGGCACTATGACTGTGACGTGTTACCCTGAGTGTGATCAGCTCACAGGATCCTCATTACTGAGGACCCAAGTGGCTGGACCAAGCCAAGGGGACGCCCACATAACACCTGGCTGCAGCAGATGTATGGCTATTTCTGGAGGGTGGGACTGGACCATGTGTCTGCTTGGGGGAGTGCCAGTTGGTATCATGAGGCATTTTGTCATGTGGTGGATGCGGTAGCGAGCTGCATCAGTGCATGCTCCCCAACCTGACCGGACCTGATCTGATTAACTGTATAAGGTGGTACAATGGTTGAGTCAAAAATACATGAGTGTATTGGATGGTTGCCAAAAAGACTGGGATGACCATAGGAGACGTTTTGTAATGGTTAAGCTATCCTAACACACTTAGGCAGACATAGTAGTCTACTCAGACTGCTTCTCTGCAACCCAGACCCAGATGAAAGGTGGAAAATTAATAGATAGCCTTCATTAAAAGCATCAAAGATCACTGTAGACCTATCTGTCACGATCGCGATCCGATGAGCAGGCAGACACAGGAGTGGAGCCGCTAATGGGTTTATTGGGGAATCCACGGAACAGCGACAGATGAACATTAATGACAGATCTGGGGCAAAACTAACTCAGACGCGGACTAAATACACAAGACAAGCAGAAAATAACAGGCAACAGGTGATCACAATCGGGAAGTGGCACACACGAGGATCGGACGAGCCGGGCGTGACACTATCTTATATAGAATCAGAGCAACTGTGGTATGGGATGTGTGACTTTGTGGGTAAGGAGTCTGCCTGTGATCAAAAGGTTGAAGGTTCCAGTGGCCAGGACTTAACACCAAAAACTGCTGCAAGAGGACCCAGAAAAAAATTCTTAGCACTGGCTTTGTACTGTATGATGGCAATAAAGTCATTCTAATTCATAAAAATGAAAAATGAAAGAAATCAAAATGGATGGCAGTACAAATTGCTAAGAAATGGAAGCCAAAATTAGGAGATATTAAGATCTCATAATAGTACCATATCTCAAATTCAAGAATTCTACCTGGAAATGCAAAGACTATGTAATGACAACAGCTGCAAAGTTATCGAAGAAGGAAGTGGAACATGTGCTGTGAGTCTACCATGGGCAGCAAGGAAAACAAGTGAATTCTTGATCAACTCAAGCATGAACCTGACAAATGAATAGAATTAAACTTTATTATGAAAAATCCCTATAAAGATTATAATACCTTGGAAAAAAAGGCAAAAAAAGACAAAAGAGGAAGAGTATGAACAGCAACAAGGTGGATTTTGCCATAACAAAACAAAAACTCACAGAAAGACATGTTGTGAGCATCTTAGAGACATAAATTCACCTTAAGCATATGTTGATATAAAAATAAGCAGAAAACAAGTCAAGGTAGATGTTACATATCAGTAATAGGCACATGTATTAAAATAGAGAGACTAGAAAATAGCTATATACAGTATGAGGAGTGGTTTCGAGAGATCCAGACATCATATACATACTTACAGATTTTATTTCCAAAATCTCTTTTGTAATTTAGAAAATGCAATCCAGTACGAGTAGTCATGCAATTATTCCCTACTTTACAGTTTAAAAAACTGACCTTAGACCTTAGATTACATTTTGTTTTTTTCTGTCTGGACTTTAAGAAGGGTACTAAAGCCCTTACACCTGCCTGATCTGCAGCAGTGTCCTCCTTATTTTACGCGACGCCCACTGTGACATTCTTACCTATGTGCAAACAAAAAGGAAACCAAAAAACAATTACCCTAATCAATGACACAGAATCAAAACGTACTCACAAAACAAAATGACAGTCACTCCTTAAACACTGGTACAACCACACACTTGAAACACATGCACACAAGCCAAAGTGACGGTATCCAAAGGTGAGAATCAGAAATCAGAAACAAATGGAAGTCATACACAATCAGGGTAATTGAAGGCAAAGAGCAAACAGCGAGCTAGAATGAAAGCTAGTGCAGGCTGGAGTCTGAATTGACAGCAGTCTTTTTGAATCTTGCTTCTGGATGTGATGAAATGGATGAGTATGTGGGCCAGTCTCCCACAGGTAGGGCCAAGTGTTGAAGGGCGAATGGAGTAGCGGAGGAGGTGAGGGGAAGAGTTGAATGGTGAATAGGGAACGAAGGGCAAATGGGGCAAATGGAGGTGATGTGTGGGTGAAGGGTTGAATCATGGAAACTAGTGGGCGAAGGGCTGAATGGAGGAGACGAGTGGATGAATGAGGGAAGGAGACCTGGAACAAAACCGAACAACAACATGGGTCATAACAGTACTAACGTTGCATTTTCCAACTGAAATCCGTGGTTTACTGTTTCATTCACTGTTAGTGCTTTTCAATCTAGGAGAACATTTACATCCTATCGGTCATATAATGCCAATAATATGTCAATAATGAAATGTCAATAGTAGTGTCCCAATCTATCACAATATGACTAAACATTGAAACATATACCAATAAGAAATTGACACTTATAAGTTCTGGAAAGAGTAAATAACATGTAAAAGCAGCCATGTTAAACTTTATTAAAGGAACACGGTGCTTTAAAATCCTCTACATCCAAGGCAGTCAAACTGTGGGGTGTGCCCTCCTGGCGGGGGGCAAAGGAATTGCAGGGGGGGGTTGGACAGGTGAAAAAAAATAAAAACATAAAATTTTGTGATGGGTTTCAGGTGAGGGCAGACCTATTTTAAAACTGCAACCTCTAGAAATATCTGAAATGAACAGCACAGCAGCTAGACAGTCAAAAATTTCCCATGACTTTGATAAGTTGTGTGCAGGAAAACAGTTACATCCTTCCCACAAGGACAAATATGATAGCCCTAGGGGGATCGTGTCACAATAAGGTTGAATACCACTGCTCCTGAGGTTGTGAATATCATGGGATATTACAGGGAAATTTTATCACTCATTACTCTAACACATTACCGAAATGTTTACAGTAAGCCAGTAGCAGTCAAACCCCTTTGGTGCCCTAGGCAAGCTTCACTGGTAGTGCCCTCCAAAGTCAATAGTATACAGTACATTTACAGAATGTTTTTATGTGATAGTCTGATACAATGTTAAAACAGAAAAATACCCTAATTGTTTACCAAAGCAGGCATGTTTTTCTAAAGGTGAGTAACTGGATTATGTGGTAGTTCTGTAGATAGTACTGTGGTAGTACTGTAACCCCAGAATACCAGGCTTAGATCCCACCTCTATTCTCCTGTTACGTTCTGTCATATGACTAAATAATATTACTTTTTTCGTTTGGAACACTTATAGCCATTTAACATATTATTGACTATTGTGAAACATTTTGATAGTTTTGCAAAGTTGAAACTTCATGGACCCCTGGTAAGCCATCAGGATGAAAAAACTCCTCTAAAACATTGCGTCTAAGCATGGCTGTCCATCCATCAGTCAGGACATACAGACATCAGTTGTAAGGTACCTTAATTAAATATTGTGAGATCAGATACCTTTAAACAGAATAAACCGAAATTGTCAATTACCTTTCTCTGTGTAGTGGATACATTCTTATTGGCCAGGACTCCGTTTCTGTGGTAGAATAAAAAAATACAGTGAGTGCAAAATAGAAAGGCATTAAGTGTATGGATCGAGACAGGACATGTAAAGTATTGCTGTCATCAATTCTATTGTGAAAAGCTCTTTCTGGTAAATATTCCACAATTTAACTGTAGGATACTGTAAACGAGATAAGGAAAAACGTTTAGGCTATATATATATATATATATATATATATATATATATATATATATATATATATATATATATATATATATATAGCAGATGCAATGTTTATTTGCATCTGCTCTTCAGCACAGCGATATTGTGCAGCTATGAAAAGAATCTTTTTAATACCTCTCTTATGTGCATCGGCACTGGATCCAGTGTCAGAAAATAGTAGACGGGTGGAATGAAAACTTATAAAGATTTTAGCGTAATTCCTTTCTTTAATTATTATTATTATTAGTAGTAGTAGTAGTAGTATCATTATTACTACTACTACTATTACTACTACCGCAGTACATAGGCCATACCTCTAACCCGTATTAGATAAGAATGTATCTATTGCATACCGATCCGTGCTTGATGATCATGCAGTGATAATTCGGTTTCAGCATCTTCCTTTATACATCTATTTGCTTCTAAACTTCAGCCAAAAATTAATCGGTGAAAGTAATCTTTGTCTAAACGGTGAGTAAGAATGTAGAGTGTAAGCTGTGTGCACGATAATTTGGACAATTCTAGTCCGTAATTCGCCGTATATTAAACTGTGATGCAGGCAAATTCTCTTTCGCTTTTCCTTTGCAGTCTTCCGCTTTTTATTTCGGTTATACTTCAAGTTACCTTATAGCGTACTGTAGATCCTCGGCGAATAGTACGGGGTGATTGAAAATATGTATCCTATTAATTGTTTTATTTCCTGACGATACCCAACTTGTTCAAAGTTAATGACCTCTGTGTCTCTTCATAATAGTCCATCTGCTTTGACATTACTAAACATTACAGCATTCATCACTTTAACGTTGCGTCCGTCTTTAATTAAAAAAGAACCACCTATCACACGACTTGCTGGTTAAAATCCCGATCGATATACTTCTTATGCCTGATTCATATGAGCTTCTGCAGCAGAGTCCTGACTATAATGGGCGTAACTTTGGGCTGGGGCATACTTAAATAAACCTAGATCTTATAATGCTTCCATTAGTCCAGCACATCTGCACAAAGGGAAACGCCCCTTGCATGCATTTATAACTCCACCACTGTCTACTTTTCCAATTTAGTGCCCAGTGGAAAAAAAGGATGTAGAGGAACTGATGTCCTCAGTGTCTTATCTAAAGTAGGCTAGGCGGATATACACAAAATCTGTTGGATGGTTTCATTAAACCAAAAATTTTATTTAAAAAAAATAATAAAAACAGAAGCAAGAATAAACATGATAACTGTGATAAAATAGCATGCAGGAAGGAAATTAGTAAACATTTTGTTACCTAAAATATTTTGCATGTGTGTTAATGTATCTGAGATATTTGACCTTAATGTCATATGTTTCTAAAGTACAAAAAATGTTTGTTTAAAGGTACTATGAAGCCTATGTGTTCACAATAGTTGCATCAATATTCATATAGAACTATTGTCAGTTTTATTTAGGATGATATTGTGTCGCTGCCATGGAACCCAGGGTATCAGATGCTGAAGCTGTCATCACTGGATAGTAATTATGGAAATAGGGCATTCTTGGGCTTAGAGGTTAGAGGTAGTTAGAGGAAAATCTTTGTTTCCAATATCACTATGCTGGTTTACTTCTTAGCGGGGCACATCACCAGGGTTACTTATGCTACACACCTAACCTACTCTGGGGCAGGTAATGTTCAGACTAAGGGATCACGAATAAAAATAATAATAATAATAATAATAATAATAATAACAACAACAACAACAACAACAACAACAACACTTGGACCAGTCAGAGGTATATTTCCAGTGACAAACGGACTTTCCCAAACTCTCAAAATCGCTTGTCCAAGAGAATTCTGTGACCACAGTAAAGTTAGGTAGAGAAATACTGATAATTTGTTCATGTAGGTGGATCAGAGCTGATCTGTGCCTCACTGTATATACACTCACCTAAAGGATTATTAGGAACACCTGTTCAATTTCTCATTAATGCAATTATCTAATCAACCAATGACATGGCAGTTGCTTCA